ATAAGATAAGAAATAAGAACAATAAGATAAGAACAAGCAAAATGAGCTAATCTAATCTAGATAAGGCTGCTGTTGCCGAACTGGGTAGGATGAGCATCACTGAATCCTTGCYGCTRCTGGCGGTGGGCCCGGGGCCTGTTGCTGCCGGCAGCGATGGTACGTCTTCCCGAGGAAGGCGTCCATAACAGAATCTCTACTAAAGTTCAATGGCCACTAAAATACTGTCGATAATCTGCCTCCCTTTCACAAACGCGAATTGGTTATTTGAAATTAATTCCCTTTCCTTCAGCCTTGTCACCAAGACTTCAGCTAGGATTTCATATGAACTCCCCACCAAACTGATTGGTCTGAAGTCCTTTACTTCCAAAGCGCCCTCTTTCTTAGGAACTAAGGAGATAAATGTGGAGTTATTGCCTTTATTCACAATAGCTGACTGGTAGAAATCTGAAAAAACCTCTGAAAGGTCTGATTTGATTGTATTCCAGCATGTCTTATAGAAGAAGATAGGGAACCCATCTGGCCAGGGGGCTTTATCACCATCTAGATTAAACACTGCTTGCTTCACTTCTTCCCCATCAAAGGCTTTCTCTAACCAAGTCTTCTTTTCCTCTGTCAACTTAGAGCCGTCCCAGTATGCCAGTTTAGCTCTAATGATATCCCCCTTCGAAAACAACTCCTTAAAGAGATTCACTATAACATCTGAAATTTCGTTTTGATCCTCTACTTCTAATTGCCCAACCCTCAATTTTGAGATAAAACTCTTCCTCCTCCCTGAAGTTTAGCTATGGAAGAATTTAGAGTTATTATCTCCCTCCTTCAACGATATCACCCGAGATCATTGCCTCCAAAAGATTTCTTCCCTCCTTATGAACTGCTCCCACTTCTTTTCTTTTAGATCTCCCCTCCTTTTTCTGCCCTCTCCATCCAAACTTCCACATTGCTCCTGGTCTAAGTCATCTAACTCCTGGATCACCTTGTTCTAAGTCATCTAACTCCTGGATCACCTTGTTCTAAGTCACCTTGTCTTGACCTGCTTGCACCATGAATGGCAGAGCAGAGGGAATAAAGAATGGATAAGAAGAAACAGAAATAGGAGCTCAGCTAAGCCAGTGAACAATTTGTGCCTAGCCAAAGTATTTCTTTTTCTCTAGACTACTTTCGAGCATTTATTCTTTAGTTGTGCCTCTGCCCCTTTTTCATTCGGGAAGCCATTTTGTCTTGATCTACTTGCACCATGAATGGCAGAGTATGAACACTTTGGGTCATCATCATCATTCATGCCTTATCCCAACCATATGGGGTCAGCTGCATGAACACTTTGAGCAATGGCTATATTTGATATTGTTACAGAATAGAAGAATTTTCTGTAATCCTACGAGGCCTTTGGTGCACCTATGCACTGATATTAGCAGTTCTTCATGTATTGAGCTCTTAATGATTTCAGGGACTTTAAGCATAGAGGTCTTGTCCATAATTTGCAAATTAATGTGAGTGTATAAGGTGCAATACTATAAACTTGGTTGTGCATCTTTGCACTCATATTAGAATATTTTGAATGCTTACAATGAGACTTATAATGGCCTTAGGCTCTGCATGACATCCAGCTTTCTTGATTTCTTCATATAATGTAAGTGCATCTGTCATTTGCCCATGGCAAGAAAGAGCTGATACAAGCGCACTCTTGATCTCATTTATGCTCTTAGCTGGCAACCCTTGGTCCAAGACTACCTATTACCAAGAAAAGAAAAAGAACACATAAGTATTAAACAATACAAAATGAAGTTGAGAAAAACATAAAATAAAGAATATATATATATATATATATATAACAAGGAAGTCTAGAAAGTTTGAAACTAACAATTAGAAACTCTACTCTCCCCAACTTTCTCCTAAGTTATCTCTAATTTAGTAGAGAGTTTCTCTCCTAAATCATCTCTAATTCTTATTTATCTTCTCCCACACTTTTTATCTACATCTATCTAAACAAAGTTTGAATTGAAAATTTAAGAATTATTTAAATATTCTTAAAAAATTATAGAATAACTTTAAAATAATTATTAAAAAGATAATCATTTTAATAAAATTCATATTATTAATAATTACATATTTTTACAAAATACATCACGAAATTATGTTAAAACAATAAGAATATGATTTTCTGGATTATTCAATCTAAATATTATTCAAATAATAAGAATCTAACATTAAAAAATGAAATATTATATAAATATCTTAAATAACAAAATATTAAAATTAACATTTTAAATAAATTAATAATATATTTTAACTATTTACTGAATAGCATTAAATTATAATAAATAGATTAAGATTTCAAATATTTAGGTAATAACTAAATATTTTAAATAAAGAAATATTTAACATAACTAGATTTTAAATAGTTAAAATAAAAAAATATGTATTAATAGTACTATAATTTTATGGATTATTAAATTCAACAAGTAATTAATATTTTAAAATTTAAATAATGATATTATTTCAATAAATAAATAATATTGTAAATAACTAATTCCATTTATACCATTTAATAATTCTAGAAAATAACTTTCAAAAAATTAATGTTTATTCATAATAACTTTAAAAACTTAATCTATATTATTATATATTTATATATACTAAAATTAATATTTATTGTATTTTAGTAATTATTTATTGTTTTTTGTGATAAATATATTTTCAATAATTATGTAAAAAAGTTATTTTTTTTGGTTATGTAATAGAAAATATTCAATAATTATTGGAGTTTAAGCTACTGTTATTTAGCTTTTTAAATTTAATTTATTGTGTATTTTCACTATAAATTTTTAATAATTATTGGAGGTTAAACTATTGTTCATGTGTTGGTTCGGTTCAGTTGTAGGTTGTTTGGCCAACCAAATCAGCATGCTCAGGTTGGGAAGTTAGTCACTCAAGTTATATCGGTTTGGGTCAATTTTCGGTTTGGTTAGTTGGTTCAAAAGTTTTAAACTTAAAAATTTAAATTTAAAAATTAAGTTTAAATTTAAAAAAAAATTACAATGGCATTATTAAAAAAATAAATTTAGAAATTAAATTTGTGATATAAAATATTTTAGCCTAAGAAATATTGGAATTTTCCCACTTTCCCATATTAAAAAATATATTTAAAATATAAAATATTCATACAAATCTATGGTTGGGTCGTTTGATTTTAGTTAGTTTGCAAATGGCCAAAGCGAAACTGATCCGACCCAGTCGGGTTGGGAAATTGTTGAACCAAAGCCAATTGGAAATATAGAAATCGGGTTAGTCAACTTCATTAGTTTGATTAGGAATGGCAACGGGGCAGGGCGAAGACGAGGATCCATAGAGATCCCCATCCACGTTGGGTCAATTTTCGGTTTGGTCAGTTGGTTCAAAAGATTTAAACTTAAAAAAATTAAGTTTAACTTTAAAAAAATTACAATGGCATTATTAAAAAATAAATTTAAAAATTAAATTTATGTTATAAAATATTTTAGCCTAAGAAACATTGGATTTTCCCACTTCCCATATTAAAAAAATATATTTAAAATATAAAATATCAATATATCTATGGTTGGGTCGTTTGATTTTAGTTACTTTGCAAATGGCCAAAGCGAAACTGATCCAACCCAGTCGGGTTGGCAAATTGTTGAACCAAAGCTGATTGGAAATATAGAAATCGGGTTGGTCGGTTTCATTAGTTTGATTAGGAATGGCAACGAGGCAAGGCGGGGACAAGGATCCACAGGGATCCCCATCCACGTCTCCATGGGGATCCCCATCCCCATAGGAATCCTCACACCCCATGATTCTTTATAATGTCAACCATTATGTTTTTGTTTTTGATTTCGTTTAAAAAATAAAAATAAAATAATTTGCATTTACAATCCTATTAGAAAAGATACAAACGTATTCAACCATATTTTTAAAAGTATTAGCATATAGACGCATGAGTAAATATATACATATATAAACGTATGTGTATATATGCATATATATTAGGGGGATCCCATGGGATGGGGATCGGGGTCCCTATCGGGCAGGGAGTGCTCTCCCCGCCAACGGGGATGAAAATTTCCCTATCTCCATCCCCACGGGGGGAAAATCATCCCCATCCCCGCCCCATTCAGGGTGGATCCCCATGGAGATCAGGAAAATGGGGAAATTACCATATTGCTATTTTTTGTATTGTAAAAAATATTAAAAGTAGTATATAAAATATAAATGATTATTAATTATTATATAAAACAATTGTATACTCTTACATGTTTCTATTGTTTATCATTAACATAACAAATCACATGCATCACACGGGTCCCCACTAGTATAAATTGAACCTATGTTATTGATCAAAAAAAAGTATAAATTGAACCTACGGACAAAAAAGAGATAAAATAAGCTTGCACTGTCCACAAAGTTGCTAGTAGAGATGAATGCCACCCCTCATAATGTTAAAGAGATCCTTTTAAAACCAGAGTAGAAGGCAGTCATAGTAGAGATGAATGCCTTGCTAAAAATCAGTTTAGGAGTTGGAAGATCTTCCAAGCACCGGGGAACTAATGGCACTTAAGTAGATTTATGGGTCAATTAAGGCGTACATTCAAACATACAAGATTTTTTTTAATTCTTTTAACATACAGGATTGTTTAATGCTAAGATGGATTTTATACAAGTATCGGTTTCTATTGCAACAGATTACTCTTAGCCTCTACTTCAACTAAATGTCAAAAATGCATTCCTTCATAGAGGTATTCATGAGGAGGTATATATTTGTCTCCTCTATGTTCCCAAGAAATTTTCTGAAATTGAAGAAATCCATCTATGCGGGTATGAGCTTAAATATTCTCCCAAAGCTTTGTTTAACAAGGTTATTAAGAAGATGGGAACATCACCATGCTAATCATACTCTTTGCTTAAGCATGATGGAAATTTTACTACATTCCACATTGTATATGTTGATGACATTATTGCAACAAGTAGCTGTCCTCATGAAACTAAGCAACTCAAGACTTTTCTGAAATATAAATTCCAAATATTTTCTAAGGATTGAGGTTTCTAGGTCAAGGAAATATATTTGTATCTCATACTTAAGTATGTTCTGAACTTTCTGAAGGATACTAGGAATTTGGTGCCCAACATAGTTCATCCTCCCAATTAGATGTTGAATGCTTGGCAAGGAGAGTAGTTAGCTAATAAATAAAAGAAGATTTTAAAGATTGGAAATCAACTTCTTTATCTAGGCTAAGCACAAGGTTCAAAGTATCGATATCGGCTCGTATCAGCCGATACGTATCGTGTCGATGGCTTCCTAATACGCCCCTCCAGGGGTTGTATTGGGTCAAACACCTGTTCAGAGGGTAGTTGGGCCTTAAACTGACCCCTCTGAACCGGTTTCGAAAAAAATAAATAAAACCTAAAAAAAAGTACTGGTACTGGCCGATTTCCCCTACCGGCGTATCGGCCTGTGTCGATACTTTGAACCTTGGCTAAGCATTGTCTACGCCTTGAAAATGATTAACCAATACATGTATGATCTTAGAGTTCCAAGGTTTAAAATGTCAACTTAGATAAAAATGTCGACCACTTTTTTTTTTTTGAAAGGTAAAAGAAGATTTGTATTATATGAAAGCAGAAAGCCCCTCAAGCTATACAAAATATTGGAAATTTCTTATATATTTATTGTAAAAATCTTATGATACTATAAATTGACATACTGTTTTAAAGTATTAAATCATTATAAAGTTGTTATGAATAATGTGAAAGAACAAAAGAAGACAAGAGAAGAGAAGAGAGCACAAGAGATCAAAGAAAGGAGAAACTGGTGGGGTTAACAATACCACACACCTATGTTTCTCTCTAATGAGAGAGACTTTTCTATTAATATTAGAATTATCCAAAATTCAAAAAAAAAGACCCAATGGAGCTTATATTACACTGAAGTCTTTGAATATAATTTTCTTTTCTAAAATAACCCCATCACTCACAAGCATTACAATCACATAATGTATAATCTAGATACTCCATTTCCCCTCAAGCTAGAGCTAAAATGCCTAGAAAGAAGCAATGCAACCAATTGAATTTCTAGAGCTTCTATTGAACAAGAAAACTTGAAGATTCTAGTATAGCAGAACTAGCTTTTGCACCACACCTACAGATCCAATTAAATTAATTGTACAACTTATGGTGTCATTTTTTGCTCTTACCCATGGTAAGACAAGTCTTCAATTGAAAGATGGTATGAATGGTGGCTCATAGCTCAACTCTTACTCAAAGACACAACCAACATGATACTCATGGAGGCCCATAGCTCTTACCCAAAGCACAAATCATCAAGTCCACCTCTTGGTACAAATCCCGATGACAATCATACACTACCAGCTTAACATAGATCAAACCACAAGTATGATAAGAACAACTAAAAATAAGCAAGACAGTGTATTGAAAAATTGACCCGGAGGCTAATCTGTTTTGCCCCCAGGTGATGGGTCAGTGGTTCATCTGGCCAAATCAAATAGGTCAACCGGTGAGTGCATTATATTTTGCAAGCACACACCACACACACACAGCAGAACTTTCTTCCTGACTAAAATGCCTCAATGTCAATGAAAATGTTGCTTACCAAAATATAGGACATATGTCGGAAATGTCGAGGGAAAATATTGTAAAAATTAGAGACATTGTGGAAATATTATGAAATATGTGGAAATATGCAATGATATTTTGTAAAA